ACGCGAATTTTTGTGTTCAGCGACACGTTGAAAAAGGTGTCGGGCCGTATAGCCGACATAATCTGCATCGCACAGATCACATACAAAATGATAAACAACGCATCGCTGATTAACAATTGACGGCTTGGGTTCTTTAGGTTTTAGGTCTTGTTCTAATTTCTTGCTTACAAAAACTGGCTGCAAAACGAGGCCAATCTTATTACTGAGATCACACAGCTGTCTCCGAACAGAATTAGCTGAAACCTGATCTTTGAATGGTAGATTAATTCTGACTATGTTGCTCTCGTCAGCATTTCTCTCCGCTGTGCCTACAGAAGGTTTACGAGAAACAAAATTGGAAATAACAGAATCTATAAGACTACAAGAGTAATCAAGACGGCTATAAATGGAGCGCAATTTGACGCATTCTTCATTAAAAGCCTCTATTGGGGAAGATAGCGCATAAGCGCGATGTAACATTGTCTTTATAATAAAGAGTCTTTATAGCGTTTGTCAGTATGAATGTGGAAATGTAAAAGCAAGCCAATATTAGTTGGCTTTCTATAGAATTGTTAATCAGCGATGCGTTGTTTGTCATTTTGTATCTGTGCGATGCAGATTATGTCGGCTATGCGGCCGACACCTTTTTCAACGTGTCGCTGAACCCAAAAATTCGGCAACTGGCAAGCATTTCCATGAAGCGCATGGTAGGAGGGATCGTTTGAATGATAATCATTTTAAGATTCTCAGAAAGTGTCAAAGCAGATTTGATTGTTTAGTGTTTGAAATGCTTTATATTAAGAAATTCAAACCTAATTTGAACGTGCAAACGGACTCCATGCGTGCTAAACTTTTTGTTTAACCCGCAAATTATTTTCTCTTATTGTTCGTTTTTAGTATTTATAGAACTTATTTTTATACATTCTTGACTTGATAATGACGTTATGTTAAGGTCGAAACGTGGTCGATTTTAGCTTTCTATAGCTTTTTATCGTTTTTAAATTTTACAATGTTATCAAGCAACGTTTTGTCGCAAGTTTTTATCGTCAAAAACAAATTCCAAGTCACTTCTTCTACGCAAAATTTGTTTTCTCTTGCATTTTCATTTTTCTGTCTGAACTTAAAATATCAGGTTATAAGTCTGATAGCTTAAGTTGATGAAAAATTTAAAGAAAGAAAGGAAAGAAAAGAAAAAAGAAAAGACAAGTAAAGAGCTAAAACGTTGAATTGAAAATAAACGGAATCTCTCGTCATTTGAACGCTGGGGTATCTCCAAGGATTCCCACGAGGTACTATGATGGAGCCAGTAACCTCTGAGCCGCAAAAAAAGAAAAAAGTGAAAACAGAAAGAAACGTCTGGTTGTACAATTTTAAAGAACAAATCTGGCTTCTTCTTCACGAAATGTTTTCAATTTGAAAAGAAACATCTTAGAAAAAGCAAAATAGGATCAAAAACCAATGATCTATGGTAAAACACTGAAGTTGCTTTTTAAAAGATTTACGGAGGAACAGATTTCATATTTTGCATCGATATGGAAAATATTCCCGAAGGCTGTGCCCCGAAGGAATGGACTCTAGTTCTTATTTGTGGACAAAAACCGAGCTAAAATATGAAGAAAAAGCAAGTAATATCAGTATTTACCAGCTCTGTTCTCTGTTATTAGCTCAGAATCGACAAGTGCTAAACATTGGAGAGATCAACTCCTTTGTAAAACATTGTAAAATGCTCCAATCAGTGAAAGCTTATGATGTGATATGGCAAGAGATAAGACTGAGTTCTAACAAAGAAGAAAGGGCTTTTAGTTACCGATTTGGAAAAGGGGATTAATTTAAAACTTATCAAATACTTAGAGTGCTGTGTTTTGTAGACAGCCTCGCAAACGAGGAAAGAAAACCATCTCATACAAGTGTCAACAAATCCTGATTCTTTTTTTTTTGCTAATTTGTCTTTTTGTCTCGTTTGTTTTCACCCTTTTTTTGGAAAATTTCATGATCCCTTTTTTTAATGAAATGAAATGAAGAAAAAAATCTTAAATATTGTTAAATATTATTTGTTGATGTTAGCGATAAACCTAGGTGCACGGATATGTCTACTGCCTCCAAACACACACACACACACACAGCTTAAATATTGTTAAATATTATTTGTTGATGTTAGCGATAAACCTAGGTGCACGGATATGTCTACTGCCTCCAAAATTGCCTGACGTTCATGAATTTTTTCCAGTAAGAAGTATGCACAGGTTAATCTGAGATTAAAAGTTCTACCAGTTGATGGGCAAAGTAGCACCTTCTATTAAGCTTGCTTTTGAGATCTTAGCTCCTTTGGCGTTATCTTCGTAAAAGCGGTTTTTGAACAACAATATTATCGAATTTCGTGTCAACTGTTTTGCCACCATCATACACCAGTTTTATTGGATAATGACCTTGTTTTAGTAAATGTTTTTAAAATTCTTTCTATGAATTTTACACTTCAACTGAAGACAAAACTGGGTTTAAGAACTTCGAGTGGAAGACTTACTTACTTTGGAATTTAATAAAAAAAACATTTTTTTCATCATGTCTTTTTGAAAAAAACTCATTAATAACTACCTTTTCTGGGCTGACGTGAAAATACAAAGAAATTTAATTTACTATTTAATTTGAATGTGAAAAGTGGAACATCACACTGCGTTGAATAAAACAGCTGAGGATGTCCAATATTTGAAATAGAGTTTACCACTTAAGGATTTAGTTTTCACTCAAACCACGTTTTATGAATACAGTTTGGAATATTTTAGATGCCTTGAATCTTAATTCAAAACTTTTCTCTTATTTAACTACTTTCTCAGGTCAATTCAAATGCATGGTCTTCTGATGAAAAACAAATGTAACGCTTGACTAGTTTCAGTACAAAAATGATGTTTTTTTTTTCGATGAAAAATCGTTAAAATGTCATCGCCGACATCGAAAAATTAAAGCAAAATTATCTGAATCGAACTGATGATCAAGTAACCGGGAAAAAAAAATTAGTGGAGAAATTCAATTCCCAAAGATCAAATTGAAGGAAATTAAAGCGTCTTGTAATTTGGGTAATTTCGCCATGACAAAGCTTAAACCGCAATAAAATTTGTGCATTCTCGTTAATAACAAGAGTTCAGATATATCCTAATATCAGATCCAAAATCATCGCCGGTGGGCTTTGAAAATGGCTGCATTATCTTTACAAATTAAATGCAAAAGAATCATATGCGTGTTTTTTTTCTTTTTGTTTTTTTGTTTTTTTCTTGTTTGGTACAGCTCGTGTTATGCGACTCACTACGATCGCAGGTTCATTATTTTAACAAATTAACCAAAACATATCCTGTTAACATAGTAGAGGAAGACTTTTATGATACATTTTAAACAAACTTACTTGATTTTTCCAAAGTACTGTGAAATGCGCTTAAAATCGTTGTTCTTCAAATCTTATCCTTTTGGAGCACAGAACCCCTTAGATATGATAATACCTTTGCGGTTTGATTTCATCCTCTGTAGTGTAATTAATGTTTTGACTGACAGAGCTGAGAGGGCAATAAATTTTGTAGTGAGTGTTTATTTTTCATTCAGCCAAGGTTAGGAGAGCTGTCAAAAATGGCGGTTTATTTGGCAAGTGCCGTTTACTTTTCGTTCTGCAGGGAATAAATATTGTTCAATATTCTGAGAATCAACGGTCGCTTATTTTAAAATTATTTATTGTTACTTTTACCAGTTCGCATTTAATAACCACGCAATTTTATCGCTTTAGATTTTGTAATATCGCGAAATTTGGAGAAGGAAAAGTAAATCTTTGTTGATGGAAGCATTAGCTGTTAAGCTCCTTTTGATTTTTACCAATCAAAACGTTCTTGGGAGTGATAAGAGATGAAAAGTTTGTGCTAATTTCCTCATAGGTGTCAATCTACATTACAGAAATAAAGTAACGAAGAAAAAAAAAAAACACACATGTTAAAGCAATATCACCAGTACACTAGGCAAATGTGACATTTGTTAGCTTGCCATGATGAATTTCTCTCTCTGAAAGTTGAAAGCAAAAGGCTAGCATTTGTGAGTAATTTGGAATCTGTTGGACAAGACGATTTTGAAGAAATATCAAATATATTGTGGCTTTATTTCTTTCTAAAAAAAAAAAAACAACTTTGCCATCTGCTGTTTAATTCTTTTTAGTGTCATTCGCTGGAGTGGTTGTTTGCAAGAAGAATGCCGAAAACCAGGGAAAATACAATCATCAATGCCTATCAAACGCCAGCTGATTAAAACTTGTTATGGAATGTCTGTAAATTTGTTTTCTTTAACGTGACCAAACCGAAAACGTCATTAATTTGCGCGGTTATGATTTTGATTTAGAGGCAGAACTATTACAACTGCTTCTGAATGGCTAGGAAATCTTTGCCTATTCTCCAGATTAAAATACACACACACACACACACAAAGATTGGTAATTTCACATACTCTTTGAACCTTGTCATCAGTTAGAAAAAATTGACTGATAAAATATAAATGATCCAAAAATTTCTTAACCTTACTTATCACTAGGAACAGAATAAAAGGACATTATATTCTATGAAAAAAAGGTAATTACAAATTGAAAAAAATCTTCGCTAGCCTGGTGTTAGCTCAAGTCCACATGCAAAGTGTTGACTAATTTGTGGTTTCTAATATTTATGGAATTAAGGCGCGAAACTGCCAAAAGATCGATAATCGTGACACAAGTCTTAGAAATGGAAAAATCTTAATTCTATGTACATATTTGCTCTCTCGATAAATAATACCATGATGAGTCGTTAATTAACACAAGCAGACTGAAACAGTGCGGAGAAATAAACAGAAAGCAGAATCTTTTTTGTCTCGTAAGGCCTTTGGCCCATCTCGCCTTTAGCCAAAAAACTCGAAATAAATTAGTTTCACAAAGACATCGACCATTAGTTAACCTCGGCAGGTGTTATTGGCGATGTTACTTCCGCTGCTGACAAGGAAAAATTTCATACGAAAATTAGGATTTTAGGGAAATATTATAATACATTGGCAATTATCCTGAGGGGCATGCAACTGGAGTAAACTAAAGAACGGAGAAAATCAAAATCACCAAATGACATTTCGAGTTCTGACTATTTTTGCGAGTTACTTTTAAAAATCCCGGCGGAAATTGTGATAAGAACAAAATACATTTCTAGCTCAATTAGCCGCAAGGTTGCACTCTTCACATGATCAACTCTCACTCTTCAAAAGCACTCTGCCTATGCACTCGTTCAACCGACAATCGAATTCAGAGTAGCATGCAAATTTTTTTTGTTGATTAAAGCTTCCCCTTTTTCTTTTGTTATGACTCTTATTTTAACTGAGCAAGACTTATGAGCCAATAATTAAGATATGAAGATACATTTCAACCAGCTTTTCCTGGACTTACCTACGTACCATGCGAGACAAAACGCGATCACCGCTGATTCAGACTCCAAGGTATGGAGAAGCAAATGGTCCTTCCAATTGCGCTATTAAAGAGTCTTTTACCTCGAATGTGATTTTACGGCTTTGCTAACCATGTTTTTTTCTCTGTAACACACGCGCACACACACACACACACACACACAGATTTCATATTCGCACGTGCAGCTAACTGAAGAAACTTACCATTGGTAAATTATATGCTTTTCCTTCAATTCTAGCTGAGTCCATCTTGAAAAGCCGGAGATTAATCACTGACTGCACGTGATGTTCACCTCAATCTAAAATGCGAAGAATAAATTTGTGACAAAATCGTAAAACCCAAATGTAAAAGTGTTAATTCATTTCGCTGTGACGTAACGGAGAATTACCGGCTATTGAAAAATATATTTCTTCTTGCACGATACGATTTCTAAATTGTAACATTATGTCATTTGCTTATCTTTTAATTTACAGTCACTGATGCGTCTTGTCGAAATGGACTCTTTTAAAATCGATCACTTGCATTGTGTTTGCCCGTAAGTCTCCTAAGCAAGTGGTTTGACCGAACTTTACATTTTTCAAGAGGAAAATCGCAAAGCAGATGGCAGACGACCAGAAAAAGGCAAATTTTAATCTCATATAAAAAGTTTCAACAGCCAATTAAAATTTCGAAATGTCACAAAAGTGTCATCATTTTATTGAGTTTTACTAAGCTACCCTTTAGATTTAATTTTTTCGCAAAAGAATACTGCATACAAAACGTACGGTAATAGCAATATAGTAAAGAAGGTGTTTCATACAATGGAGAGTCTTCATTCAATAGAAATCAGCAATTTCCGGCGACTCTGAAAACAGTCAGGAAACTTGTCAATGGTACTGTGTGGAAGCTGAACTAGTCTAAAGTCTGACGAATCATGCAAATTTCGATTTCTAGCCTACGTGGCTGATTAATAACACGCTAGTTGGTCATTTTTTGCAGAGTATCTACTGGCCCCAAATTTTGTCTCATTTCCTCGAACACTGACCTTAAAACTGACTAAATAAAGAGCGAGGACACCGACCAGTAATGGCAGCACAGCTTACTAATTTCGTTGCCATTTTCACTTCTGACCGTAAGACCGCCGTGGCTGTAATAAAATGAGGTGCAAACAGGCCACTCATATACACATTTTCGCCAGCCATCATTCTTGGGAAGGGGCCAGACGCTCCCTTCTTTTGCCTGCAACGGGTTTGTGTCGTTCCCGGTTTCCCTTTCTCCGTTCCTTTTGTTTTTCTGCTTCTCCACACTCCCTGATCTTTGTAGTTCACCCCAGTGTTTCTTATTCTTCTTTTACTAATCCTTGCCACCCACTCCCCTCTAACCCTGTGTACCAGGTCGGATAACCGCTTCCTTAGCCTTCCAATCCCCCGTCCCCACCCCACACCATTTTTTCCACTCATTTTCGAAGTGAGAAACGTTTTAATTTGCCGAACCTTCATTCTCAATAGTACCCCCCAAATGTAATTTTTTTTTTTCTTTCTCTCACGCTTCGTGAGTGAGCAAAATATAAATTTGAAATTTCTTTACCCACACAAAGTCACCTGCTGTGGTAAAAATCAATCTTCAGCGGTTCTTGTCAGAAAAAAACGACCGCGGTTATCGTATAACTGAATTGTAGGAAAACAGCGGGTCGTGTGCATTTTTTATCGGGCAAATTATGTTTTTAAAAATACGTAATCCCGAAGATATCCAAAGCTGTGACATACACATCTCCCTCTTGTAATGGTCAAAACATATTTTTTTTGTTCCCTTTTCGCTGCATTTGATTGGCTGTTTCAATGAGCGATGCTTCCCAATCGCGGTGCATGATGATATGTTTCTCGCAGGTCAGCGCTTGTGATATGCAAATGACGACACTAAACCTTACGTGGCACAGCCGGCCTCGTTCGCATGGCCGATTGATATTTACATTTCACGGCTATCTGATCTGTTTTGAGTTTCTTTCGCCGACGAGAAGCGGGACTATTTAGGCGGGATTACGATATTTTTTTTAGGCGAGAAACCGATATGGCAAATTTTTAGACAATATTTTGAGTCACGTCCATGGAGTTGAATTCGTCGCTTTGTAATTTGGAATATAGCAGTGATCGTATGGAGCAAAAAGATCGCGTATCACATTGCTGTACTGGTGAGTAAGAATGAGTCGTTAGTTTCGCTGTCTTTCTCTCGCCGTTTAGTGCATTCTACCGTGAAACATATTTTCTTTCTCTACCTGAATAATAATTTGAAGTGACCCTACCGAAAAAAAGAAATTTAGCGTGTATTCTTTCGAATTTTTTGAGTCCAGACATTCGTCTATCAGATTGCGATCGCGAGTGTGTGGAACAAGTTGATTGATCAAAAGGTTTTTGTCTGATTCTGTGTGAAATTTGGTTTGGGTTTATAACAAATTCAAGACAATTGTAACCTGGTGATTTTATTTGATTCCTGTTTGAATTTTTTCAAGGCAGTCTCAAATGAGGGTTGTCAGTCAATCGTGTCTTTTATGCAAGAATATTTGAACACAAAGTGCGAATATAATTTTATTGTCACCATGAAGTAACGTGAAAACGACCCAAGGATTTGATAATTTATGTTTAAATCAATATCGCCCTTGGATAAAACTATTAAGCCGTCGAGAATGCTTTCTAAAAAAACAGATTTTATTTTTATGGGCCGGTTTTTCCGTGGATCATGAGGCAAATTCAGACTTCTTCTTTAGGAACACCCAAACATTTCGCTTCCGCTGCGTAAGAAAATTGCGTCACTTCCGCTTTGTAAGGAAAGCTGGAAAGCGATACCAAGGCAATCGCTACAAATTCGGACATGGGAGGCGTGCAGTTAGAATTTGTTTCACCAGAGAAAAGGAAAGAAAAGGAAAAATTAATCAGAACAACTGCAACAGCATGTGAATAAGTTACGTATAAGATTACTTTTAAGCACATAATTTTTGGGCCGCAAAACGGTGTTATATGCTGCGAATTATTGAGATGCAATATTGATCCGCCGATATGAGAATCACGGGGACTTTTATCACCAACGCAGAGTCTATTACTGATAAGGTCAAAAGACTCGTTTCAATATTACATTCACTCAGCAAACAAGCTTTTTCTGCCATTATTCAGTTATTTACCAGAAGTGAAATCTGATTGGTCAAATGAAGATAACGCTCAAACTAAGTTGCATGAACTTTTAGCCTTAGTAACAAGTTAATTGCGAAAGTTTCTTTTGTCATGGAATCTAAACATCCATCGGTGTTTCGTGAATCGTACCCTTTGTGTGACAACAGATGGCATAAAGCGGGTAGGTCGGAAGCTTTGGTTATGCAACTAAACCCCTTTTTGTGCTTGGAGCGTTATGAATGTTCAGCTGTGTAGCTCCGAGAAACGTCAATATTTGTTCTATTTCCACGTTTGAGCGCTTTAACATCAAAATCTGACTTAGTTTGTCCGTCATCGCCCGTTAAAGTCGCCTTCCAATTTCTTTCGCAACTCATCCAACCCAAGTTTCGAAAAGTCCAACAAAAAACTGAAGGTTTACGTATGAAAGTGCTTTGGAAATCGTAGGCAGTGATGCTGGCCTCTCCCGCTGTAAGAAAAAAATTGTGCCTCTCTTGCTATTGATCAAAGAAAACAAGAATAGAGGTTTATAACCGTTGAAATGTCATTTGTAAAACTACATGAGATTTAGATTTACTTTTTTGTGATTTGTCTTTAATCTGAACGATTACTGATTTCAGAACCAAGGTGCGCTAAATAATCGTTCATCTCGTAAGCTTGACCCAAGCGTAACGAAACGAAGCTATCTTGGTACCTCAACCAATATATCTGAAGGAACGTTTATATCTTTTTTATCCGTGCTATATTATAGATCTCGAGTTGGCGGCTGAGATCGGCAAAAATCTTCTGGAACGAAACAAAGAACTGGAGGTAATGCTGAAGTCGTCGCATCACTATCTCGAAGAACAGTCAATAAAAAATGAGGTGGGAAAATTGAAATATTGCTGGGGTTTTTTAAGGATATAATTTAAATAGTTATTTTTTCATGCATGATCGCGTGGTATTATCTCGGCGGATTACTGTTATGAATAAAAGCTGATAGTTAGTTTCTAAAGAAACTGTTTGGGGCTGCGTCGGTGGGGGT